TGAATGAATTTCTGTAAATAAACCTTATGGAAAAAAATTCATTCATTGCACTTCCATTTTTTTTCAAAAAAAAATAAAAATTGATTATATTTTTGTTTAAAATTCAAAATAAAAAAAAATGTAAACGAATTTTTCTCCTCACGATGTGAAATAAAAATTTCGAATCCAACATTCACTTTTGCATAAAAATAATTGGAAAGAGAATTTTCATCAAAAAGTACAATGACCAGATGTCAGATGCGAAATTATTCGAAATTCAAAATCAAATCGATAAAATGGAATGTGCATGTTGTATTAGAGTCAACTTTGCTTCGGAACTTTATCGTCTTATTTTGCATATTCAATCGAAACTGTCACAATAAAAAGTGAAAAAAAAACAGAAAAAGAAGAAGAAGAAGAAAAAAAGCAGGAAAATTAATGAACTGAGTGTAGAGTAAATTGCATACTACACGAATAATATAAAAAGTAGACCAAGAATATTACCATAATTTATTATATCTATTTTTTTCCACTTTAATTATTATTCTACATAAAAAATGAATTTTCTAGTTTGAAAAAAAAAAATTTACAACTCTCGCAAATAATTAATGAAATACAAGTTTGTTTCCAATAGGAAAATAATTTAAATTTAAGTCTGCAATTCTTCAATTAACTTTCTTTCTTTCCTCATATAACTGTTTTGAAAGAAAAAATAAAATCAAATAAATTAAAGAAATTAAATAAACATATTTTATTTACATTTTAATAAATTAAAAAAAAACCAAAAAAAAAATTTTTTAAATAAAAAAAATAAAAAAAAAAATTTAAAAAATTAATAAAAACAAAAATATTAAAACAAATAAAATATTGAAAGTAACAAAAATAACAAAAAGTAGACAAAATAGAAATAATAGATGAAATAATTGTAGATAAAATGTATAAAAAATTACCAAACAGTGGAAAAAATAAATAAAATTATAGTAAATAAAATATAGAAAATTAAAAAATTAACAAAAAGTGGCAAAAATTAATAAAATAATAGTCGTTCAAAGCCGAAAGGCATGAACTATGTTAAATAAATAATAAAATAATAATAAATAATTCACTTTCTATAATAATAAATAAAGTTATGAAATACTATTAAAAACGACAAACAATAACAAACGTAAAATTATTTTTTAAATAAGAAAAAAGTGATGTAAACAATAACAAAAAAAAAAAAATATAATTGCATTTTCCCGGAATTATTTTAATTAGTCGACAGACTAGGAAAATTCGTTGGATGTGAATCTCCATAGCTTTGGGGAAAAGCAGTCAACCGGCAATTAATAGGTCTTGGGTTTCGATCCCCAGCAGAGTTAGTCCCCCATTTTTTTCATAGTTTTAATTTTCAAATTGAACGAAAAAATAGAAAAAAAATAAATAGATATAGAAATAAAAATAAATAAATAGAAATAAAAAAAATATGTAAAAGTTACAAAAAATACAAAAAAATACAAAAGATACAAAAAAAAAATACAAAAAATACAGAAAAATACAAAAGATACTAAAAAGTTCAAAAAGTAGAAAAAATACAAAAGATACTAAAGAATACAAAAAGTACAAAAAATACAAAAGATACTAAAGAATACAAAAAGTACAAAAAAATACAAAAAAATACAAAAGATACTAAAAAGTACAAAAAGTACAACAAAATTAAAAAAATACTAAAGAATACAAAAAGTACAAAAAATACAAAACAAAAAAACAAAAAATACTAAAGAACACAAAAGAATATTTCAAAAAAGACAAAAAAAAAATAAAAATAAATAAAAATGAAAGGAACGTATAATTATTTCGCATTAATAAATAAAAAATATTAAACAATACTTTTGAGTTAAACAAAAAACTTACATAGCTTTATAAAAAAGTGAAAGTTGTTTTAAACAAAGAAAAAAATAAAGATATTTCAAAGACAATAATCTCATTGTTTATTCATTTAATTTTCTCTCGAATTAGCTGTATATATATATATATATATATATATAGAAATATTTGAAAGGCGGTCGTTGGGTCTATATTTCAACTTTAAAGGGGTTGATGTAACTGGTAAAATAGAAAAGCAAGAGTAGGGGTGGGATTGATGGAGACTCGACTTGGCGATATTTCCGCTGAAGGGTTGGCGACCAGCCAACGAGGAACGTTTGACGTGTACCTTGATTCATAAGGAAGTCTGCCAAAAAATGGGAATGACTTCGATTCTATCGAATTTACTCGCACGGGATATCATTTTTAATAAAAAAAAGAAAAAAAAAATAGGAAGCTTTAACGCTTTCCAATCCAACATTTTTTTTTCCTTTTACAATTCGTGTCGACATGTAACAGTGGCAATAAACGAACAAATCGATTATTATATATCTTTCAGGCAAACGTTTTACTCTGTAATTAATTTTTATCTTCTTTCAAAAAATATTAATATTTTACTTGTGTAATTAATTTTGATCTTTTTTCAAAAATATTAATACCAGGAAAATAATTTTTTCATTATTTATTTATTTTTTATCATTAATTATTGTAATCGAAAAATAAATTAATCATAATCTGTTTTTTGATTTTAATCAATAAAAAATATTATCATTTGTAATCTAGAAAAATTATTGTTAATTACAATCAAAAAATATTTAATTATCGTAAACGTTTCAAAAACTTTCAGTGATTATGGTTAGTAAAAAATTATTATTAATTATAACTGTATTATAATTAGAAATAATTTTCAATTCATAATTTTTAATTCATAATAATTGTCTTAAAAATAATTCTTGATCGTTTTAATGAAAAATTTTGTTATTAATTATGAAAAATGAAAATTGTTAGTAACTATAATCTCCATAAATTATTATTGATTATAGTGAATTAAATTTATTATTAATTAAAGTGAATGAAAAATTATTAATTATAATTAACATTAATTATAGTTAATAAAAATTAATCTCAATTGTCATCAATAAAAATTGTTATTATTTAAAATTAACACTGATTACAATCAATGAAAATTATTATTAATTATATAATTAACATTTACTAGTCTAAAAAAATTATTATTAACTATAATCTATAAAAATTATTATGAACTATAATCGATAAAAATTATTATTAATTGTAATTAAAATTCGGTATAATTATAATTGTATTCTAATTTTTAATAAATTGAAAATCGCAATTGCAAAGAATGCAGGGACGTGTGAAAATATCGCATTTTTCAAGAAAAGAAAATTTTCTACATGTTATAAAAAAAAACACTCTCTATAGAAAATTAATTTCTCTCTGTTATTGAAAGCGTGCTCTCTAAATCTGAATAAGTAAAAATTCACATAAAAAGTGTCAAAACTCGTTCGCGTTAGTAAATAAGTTAATAAAAAATACACTTACAGTTAAAAAATTTCACTAAAAAATAAGTGAAAAATCAGTTTTGAATAAGTGTAAATATACATTTTGATATTTATTTTAAATTATTATTTTTTTAATAATTAATTAATTTTTATAATTAATAATTTTTATAATTAATAATTTTTATTAATAATAATAATTTATCTTTATTTCTTCTTTTTAATTTTCTTATTTCTTCTTTTTTATTTTCTAATTTCTTCTTTTTTATTTTCTTATTTCTTCTTTCTATTTTCTTACTTCTTTTTTATTTCCTCATTTCTTTTTCTTTATTTACTTATCTCTACTTTTTTATTTTCTTATTTTCAGCTATTTCTTCTTTTCTTATTTTTTTCCTCATTTTTTTACCCACTCGATTTTTGACGCCCTCCAAGTGAATTTCCAGTAATTCAAATTAAGAAAGTGAAAATATATTTAATGATTTTTTTATTCTTATTTTGATTTTCACTATATTTATGCGAATATACCTACAGAGATATAATATTTATCAACTACATTAGTGCATAATGGATAGTGGAGGGCAGTTCATTCATATAATCACTCGTTCATGAATAATAAAAAATTATCTAGTTTGAAAATATACTATCGAAATGTCATCTATTTAAAAAATTGTAATTTCTTCTTCTATAGTTTATAGGTTTTTTTTTTGTTTGCACAGTCTGTGAGAAAAATACGATTTTTTATTTTTTTTTTATTCTTATTATTATTCTTCATTTTTTTTTTTTTTTTTTTTTTTTTTTTGAGAATACACTCGAGGAAATGAGTGGCTTTACATTTATCTGATTTTTTGTACGAGTAAAATGGTAGCAGATACGTGAGCATATAATAATTGGGTAAAAATAAAAATTTCTCCTTCCTTCAAATATATAAAATTAGACAAAAAATCTCTTTTCTTATTTTTCTCTTTCTAAAATAGTGATTTTCATTTTACATTTTTATATGTACAAGTTGTTCGAAAAATTTCGTGAAGAAATAACATTTTCAAAATATTTGTTTTTTTTTTGCGAATTTTTAAATTAACTTTTTGAGTCATTTGAGATTATATTTTTTCTTGCTATATGGAAATGTATAATAAAATTTATTCATTCTTGATTTCAAAAAGTAATTGCCCACGTATCCGCAGAAGACGTGATTTTCTCGCTCACTTAAATCTCAAAGTAGTGTTAGTTGAGATGAGAAAAAAATATATAAAAAAGCAGCCTTTTAAAAATTTTTTTCAGTAGAAAATCGACACAGTTGTAATAATAATTTTATAATATAATAATTCTTCTTCAATTTTTTTTAAAATAGTTCCGCGAATATTAAAATGAATTTATCTGTTAATTTGTAATTTTAATTTACAGTTTAATTAATTTAATTAATTTAATTAATTTAATTTAAGTACCTATAGGTACTCTTTAATGAAAAGAATTAATTAATTTTTAATTTATGATTGAAAATTAATTAATTATTCTTCGTTTCTAATTATTTAATCTTAATAAATTAATTAACAAACTTGTATTATTAATTCGTTATTGCAATTAATAAAATCCACGAATTAATAAATTAAAATTAAATAACGAAACGAAATTAATTATTATTAATTCGATGATTGACAATATTATTATCGAATCCGGAATCAACAATTATTTTCATAAAATAAACTTCGATTTTCAAATAAAATTTAATTTCCCCAATATTAATAAAAATACGAGTAGAGATTAATATGTGCTCAAAAGACTCATAGCTCGATTAAAATCTTTTCGATAAACAATTATTATATTAATATATAAATCAGCGAAAGTGAATTATCTCCATCCTTTGATCCTCGGAGCACTCTTCATCAGTTTTCGAAAAAAGAATTCAAAAAAAAAAAATTCTACCTTTGAATCACTTTCAGAGAGAAATTTTAGAAAACATTATTTTTTTTTATTATTATTTTCATCTTCTTTTTTTTCTATAAAATAGTGAGTGCTCTAAAATTCATTCTAATTTTAAAGTTATTTTAATCGCTCTAAAGCGCATTTAAATATGTCAACTCTCAATTTATAGTCACAATCATTAACATATTTTTTTTTTCCTTTTTAAATAAATTTTCTTATTATTTATACAATTAAAACTGTTTTATATTTATATTATATCATAAAAATTAGAAATAATAGTCGCGTTACTTGAAGAAACAAAAAAAAAATACCGAAAAAGGTACAGGTTTTTTTCATCATCTTCTTCTAATATAATAAGAATAAAATTATTTTTATACATTTTCTTTGATAAGAATTTACATACTAAAAAACAGTCAATTGAAAGTCTAAAAAATTCTATACCTTTTTCGGTATTGTTTAAAAAAAAAAAAAATTATCCGCGGTCGAAGATTCAATTATTGGCGAAAACAATAATTATATGTCACATTTTATATATATAATATATATTAAGTTTTTTTTTTTTTTGTTTCTGTCTTTGATCTCCTAATTACGTTACTAAATTCGCATTTAGAATTGTAATTCTACAAACCCAAACGCGTTCAGACTTTACCACTTGAGTTTCAGCCTCGTTGCTTTATTAATTTATCTTCGAAAAAATTCCAAGATCGCCGCATGATATTTTCCTCTATTTCTTCTTCTTCTTTCTTTTTGGAATTTTCATCAAAAAACGCAGTCCCTGTGTTTTTTTTTCTTTTTTTTTTTGAGTTTTTTGAGAAACGGTGCTTGCAAAAAGGGGGGAAAGGGGGGGGGGGCGAGGAAGAAAACGTAGAAAGGATCGTTATTATAATAGGGAGTGTGAGAGGGAGAAGGAGTTAAGAGCGATTTATCAGATTTATGATGTTTTAGGCTGAAATGAGGATGGGTCACGAAAGGGATATTAACGTCCTCTCGCCCATCGTAGTACAGCATCCGCCAGAACGTCGAGATGCGCTTTTATCTGTGGATGAGAAAAATAATAAAACATTATTATCATTTCAGTATTTCATTTATTTTGAGTCGAGTAAAAATGCTGATGCATTCAGTGACCTACTTGACCAAATGGAATGCAATAGTTTTCTCAAAAAAAAAAAAAAAATTTTTTTTTGGGAAAGGGAAAATAAATTTTTAACTCTCTCTCTCTTTTTAGTGGGAAATTATCAAAGTTGATCATTTTAGCTAATAGTCAACTTTTGTTTATTTATTTACTACAGTTTAATTATACACAGTTTTTTAAGAATATCAAATTTATTTGATTGTGAACATAAATAAATATACAAATAACTTCCAAAATTTTTACTAAGGTTTTTATAAATAATTAAATTCTTTTGACAAGTTTCTTTAAATTTTTCAAAAATAATGTTTTTTTTAATAATTTTAATTAAAAATTTGGAAAACAATTGAATTAAACAAAGAATTTTTTCAATTTAAAAAAAAAAATTTTGTCTGTTCATAATTATAATGGAAAATTTAATTAATTTAATTTGATTAAAAATTAAAATATATTGATACTAATTGAATTTCTGCAAGAAATTTTACAATTTATAAAAGTAATTGAATCCTTCCAAAGAATGTTATTATTTATGAAAATAATTAAATGTTTGCGTAAAATTTTTGAAAATAATTGAATTGTGGAGAATAGTTTAATTATGTATAAAGATAATTGAAATTTTGAGGAGAATTTAAAAAAAAATTTTAAACTCAATTGAATTTTTGCGAAGAATTTTATGAAAATTTATGAAAATAATAGAATTCTTGTGAAGAATTTTTTTTTTTAAATAATATTCAAAAGAATTTAGTAAATCTGAAGAATTTTGCAATTTACGGAAATAATTAAATTCTTGAGAAGAATTTTTTTTACAGCTTCTAGAAATAATTGAATACTTTCGACAAATTTTAATAAAATTTTTTAGAATAATTACATTTTTCGAGAAATTCGATTAAAATTGTAGGGGAATGTAGTCAAGGTTGGCCTACTGTCTAGGTAGGCCACTCGCGTTTTTTTGTCAAGTTCACTAGCGCCACCTACGCGCATTTTTGTCGAAGCTTGTCTTAGTGAAACCTAACTTTTTGTTCAATTACATTTTCGGAAAATCTAAAATTGTGTTTTCTGTGACGTCGGTACAAAAAAAGCTCAAAAAAAGTTTTGTGCATAATGTGAAAAACCATTAATAAAAGATAAAAAACAAATTGAATCGTCAAGGCAAGTATGCAGAAAATTTGTGGGACTCATGGTTGAAAGGAAAACAAAGTAAAAAATCGAATCCCGAAACGTATTTCTTTATGGTTACAACAATTCGGTAATGTTACTTACTGTCAAGGTCGGCCACTATGTGTTTAAAATGCGCAAAGATGAGGACGAGCTACTTCATTTGCAAAAACTGCAATTCTGTATAACTCATAATATAATTGATCATCTTATTAATAGTTTCATTTAATTTTATTAATATTTTAGTGCAAAACTTTTTTTTATTTATATTTATTTTTTTATATTGTTTATTGTTATTATTTTGTTATTTCATTAAGTTACAAACTGTAAACAATAAAGAATCAATTTTCCGTAACTCCAAACATGTTATTTTATTTTTTAACGATTAATGCCCTTTGAATTTTAAACATGGCCGACCTTGACTGTAATGGCCAACCTGGACTACAAATTTTTTTTTTTTTAAATCTTTATAACTTTTTCATTTTTAAACCTGTCAATTTACTTTGTACAGAAAAAATGTTCCTATTAAACAGGACTTTCCAACCATATACTTCAATTGTCCAAATTTATTTTTAAAAAAAAGTTATAAACAAAAGTCAAAAAGGTGGCCGACCTAGACTATGTTCCCCTATTAAAAATAATTGAATTCTTTTGAAAAGTTTTATAACGAATTCATAAAAAAATTGAATTCTTTCGTGAAATTTTCTTGAACGTAATTCAATTTTTCCAATTAATTTTACTATTTAAAAAAATAATTTAATTGTTTCGAAGGATTTATTGAAATATTTAAAAAATTATTTGTATTTGTTTGCGTAGAATTTTATTATAATTTTTGAAAATAATTAAATTGTGGAGAACAATTCAATTATTTATAAAGATAATTGAAGTTTTGAGAAGAATTTAAAAAAAATTTTAAACACAAATGAATTTCTGCGAAGAATTTTATGGAAATTTATGGAAATAATTGAATTCTTGAGAGGAATTTTTTTTACAGTTTCTAGAAATAATTAAATTCTTTCGACGATTTTTAATAAAATTTTTAAGAATAATTACATTTTTCGAGGAATTGAATTAAAATTGTATTAAAAATAATTGAAATTCTACAATGAGTTTTACTATTTATGAAAATAATTGAATATATCGCGAAGAAGTTTTTTAACATAAATTTATATTTACGGTGGCTAACTTTCCTTGATTATTTTCGAAAAATTTAAATAAAATTCTTTAAAAGAATTAAATTATTTTTAATAGAATATGTAAAGAAATTTCAATTATTTCAAAAATTTCCAATTATTTGTTTATAAAAATTCAAATATCTTGAAACAATAGAATTGAAAAATTTCGAAAATCTTATTTTTCAGAATTTTCAAAAAAACTTTGCGAAATTAATTTTGTTCTTTTTCTAATTTTTTTTGTAGGTATTTTATTTTTCTCAAGTTTTGAACGTTCACATGAAGAAATTTTTGTTGTTTAAATATTTTATAAAACTACTATATATGCAGATAAAGAAAGAATAATAATTAAAATTAAACATCTACTTAGTCAAGTATTAATTTTTAATATACAAACAAAATAATTTTTTAATAACAAAATACAAATTAAAAAAACTAAAAAAAATATTGTCCTTCATTTGAAAGTTCAAAACTTAAAGAATATTGTATTTTTTTTTAAGTTTTTTAAGTTTTTTAAACTGTTTTTTTTACAATTTTATTCAAAATCCTTTGCGATAGGAAATAATTTTTTCGTTAAATCAAAATTGTTTGTCTTTTATACAAGAAATCTTTTTCAATTCATTAATTTTAATTAAAAGCTTGTTTTTAATTAAAGTTGAGAGAAAACGTTTTAGAAAATTTTTAATTAAAACTCCGTTTCATTATCACAATATTGAATTATTATTTTTAAATAATTAACGTCAATGTCTATTAATTTTTTAAATTTTCAACTGCAATTATAAGTTCATTGTAATTAAAAAATAATCATTTTTCTACAATTTAACCGAATTTATCAATAATTAATAACAATTTTAATTTAATATTCAATTTTGTATTATTTAATTAATTATTTCGTTTAATATTCAATTTCTAAGTAGTTAAATTGATAATATTTAATTTAATGTTCAATTTCTAATTATTTCATTGATCATCCAATTTTCAATTATATTTAATTCAGCATTGAATTTTTATTTATTTCATTTAACAATCAATTTCTAATTATGTCATTAATTACATTTAAGTTAATATTTAATTTTTAATCAGAAAAAAAAACTGATAATAAACAAGTTTGAAAATAATTTTGTACGATTGAAAAGAATTAAAAATCGTATAAACATTTAAAGGTGGAGAGCAGGGGGGGGGGAGAATTTATTCTGTGCTTGAAGAGTAATGGAAAAGATTTTATTAATTTGGGAAAAAATTAGACAAAAGAGGTGGGAGGGGGTGAAAATTAATTTGTGAACGACCCTAAAATAAAAAAATCTCGTTTTAAGTTTTGTCTAAAATTAAAAAAATTGTAAATAAAGTAAAAAATCTACTTTTTAGAAGTCAAATAAGAAAAAAAATATTTTTTCCCTGTTATGATGGAAATTTTACGATTTTCAAAATATAAACACAGTTATATATATATATATAAATTATATATATATATTTTTTAAGTAAAAGATATGGCGAGAAATTTTTGACTCGACATTTTATAAACTACTATTTTTCGAAAACTGGCGCAAAAATTTTGTTGAAAGAGCTTGTGAAAAATGTTGAAATAAAATAGCGGAAAGTGATATAATATAGTGGTTTATTTGGAAAGTAATAAAATTCCAGTTTTTAAAATGTGCTTCCTCTCTTGTATGCGCGACTCTCTCTCTCTTATATATATATTTTGGGGATTGTAGGACACACAGATCGAATCGAGTTCAACGACTTATGATGAAGTATCAGTCTCATGACCCAATCGGTAAAATATACGAGCTCAAAAACTTTTGCCGAGGAGAATCCACCCGGGGGAAGCAAATAAAAACAAATCAGTAGATAAGGATAATCGGAGTTAGACACACACCCACACACAAACACTGTTATAATATGCTCTGATATAGAAATATTTTTAATCTTAACGCATGCGTTTTGGTTTTCAAAAGCATTTCAAGTGGAATAACACGAAATTAAGTCAGACAAATGGAAAAATTTTCCACTTTTTGAAAATAGGAATGGAAATTTACTTTTTTGGGGGAAAATCTAAGACTAATGTAAAAACTAAATTTTTTTTGTCTTTGATTTTATTTGTTTAGTTATTTATTTATATACTTACAGGAATTTGAATAAAACAACTTTTAAAAAAATTTATTTGTAAAAAAAAATGGTTTAGAAAAGTAATAAAAAATTATTCGAGAATATTAAAATTATTCGAGAATAAATATTCTCGAATAATTTTCCATTACTTTTCTAAAATCTTTTTTTACTTCGACTGTACAAATTCAAACCGCGATACAAAAGTCTCAAAATTTTAATTAGAGTTTTTATTTAAATTCTGTCGTATTTCACTCTAAAAATAAGTATAAAAAACTGCGAATGGTCAGACATGTTATTTATTAACTTTAAAAATATTGAAAAATATATTTTCTTTTGGAGAAGAATTGAAAAATTTGGAAAACAATAAGATATTAATTAATATACGAATTTTCTTCAATTTTCTTCAATTTTTTCAGTAGAAAAAATATTTTTGGTCAGACGAAACGTTACTCTCTTGTATTTCAGTAGAATAAG